CCTGATGGGCCGGACGCGAAAGACGTGACAGACGACATGGCCCCGGCGGCAGCAGCGGCTTCGGGTGCAACGGCGGCTGGCGAGGCGCTGGCGGACAGGGAGCTGGATGGATTTGTCCTTTGACGTAAAGCAAGCTAGCTAGCTATGCTCCTGGATCGATTCTTCACGCACGAAGGATACTAATACATGCACGTACCAAGTACCCCCTCCGTCCGGAAATATTTGTCATCAAAATAAATAAAAAGGGATGTATCTAGATGTATTTTAATTTTAGATACATTCTTTTTTGTTCATTTTGATGACAAGTATTTTCGGACGGAGGGAGTACTAGCTAGTCGTCGATCGATTGATCACACAACTTGGCGGAACTCCAACACGTGATCGAGCGGGCGCGTGTGGTGGCGGTCGGGCGTGCGTGCGCTCGAGCAGGAGCAACGGCTGGCGGGCGAGAGCGCAGGCGGGTAGGGATCGGGCAGGGCTAGCCGGCGGCCAGCGCAGAGGTCGCGCGAGCGGCGGCGACGGCTGGGTCGCGGCGGCGGCGCGGAGGAGATGCGCGACGGTGGCGGAAGGCGGCGGCCGGCGCGGGAGGCATGCAGACGGCGGCGGCGGCGCGGAGGAGACGCGTGGCGGCGAAAAGGTAGGGTTAAAACCCGGAAACTGATACCATGTAGAATATGTGAATTGCATGATGTATCGCTCTTCGTGCATAGACACGTATATATGAGTACAAAGATGGGCCACGGACCTCAACTATATAGGGACTAGGAAGCGGGCCCAATACACAGTATACACAGATCATATATACTCAACACTTTCTATCTCTCACAAGTTCCCTCCCTGCTCTGCCATACCTGTGCCCCGTGGCGAGACTTACCTGGCTCCCCAGTAATGTTTGCACCCATTTTTGATGATTGCATCCGTCCTTGCTTAGATTTTTGCCCCTTAAAACCTGAACATTGTGCAACACTAATACAGTGTCCAGTAATCTAGCTACCTTAGCCCAGGTTCATCCTTGGGATCGAAGAACCTCCTTTGTTTATTCTTGTTTTGCTCATTGACGGTGTATCTATTTGATATGAAATAAACGTAGACATGATGGAATTCGCTCAAAAATGTTATAAAAAAATGCCCTGACACTCCTACCCTCTAGATTCCTGTACCAAGATATTTGAGAATACATCAATGGACATACCTATGTACACATACATTTATACATCGAACTGACCAACATTGTCATTGCAGAATTGAGAGTTTTTGCATCTACTCTGTTTGCTTTCGTCAAAGTTAAAATAATTTTAATTGAAATTATTGTCCTTTCTAAAACCAAATGTAAAATATCATAAAGTATGTGATGAAATATGATGCAATGATGGATATGATTCTATAATAAACAATAGTGCATCTCAACGATTTGTGGTGCAGATATACATGATTAGTTGTATAATTATTAACTAGTAACTAGTTGCAAATCAAATAGTTGTGTAATAAAAAATAATGCAAGTTTTATTTAATACATTTACAAATAAATTGAGTTATAAATAAGTAAAAAGGATTCCCAACTATATTGCATACAAACGAAGTCCAAGTAAGGACACGTCATCCGACACAATCAACTGCTCGACATATCTTCATCAGAAATAGCAGCAGGAGTCAGGGCCGGTCCGGAGATTTTGGTTGCCCGGAGCGAAACTAAAACCTGGGGCCCTTAACTTAAGCATTGATATGATGGATTATGAAGAAAGTAGACAATGATGCATGATGAAAAGTCATGTTTAATGCCATGCTTGAATTACAACTGTATAAATATATTATTATAGGTATCAAAACGACAGAAGACTCCACGAATAGTCCTAATAGAATTTTCATCCAAAATGCATAATTGAATTCACATTTTGAATTCTTGGAATTATTAGGTAAGACTACTAGTATAAATTGGAGCATATGAGAATTTAGATAGATGAGCAAAATCCTTACGAGTGATGTGAAAAATATTGCTTCGTATCTTCAAAAATTAAATACCTTCATATCTTCAAAAAATAAATCTGTGGTGCCGTGACACCGCAATGTTACTCTCACCTAATGAGTTGTGCAAATGATTAAATTAAGAGTTAATTACAGAATTGTGCCGTCACTGCTTAGCTCATATATAAACCAACCTCGTTCTTCCTTTGACATATTTGATGAGATCTATACCTGTACCACCACATGAACATCATTACATCAATATTAAACTGCAGAGCCAGAATGATTAATTGTACAAACAGTGAAAGATGTCGACCAGCCGGCAATACTAACCTCTAGACGATACACAACAGCACCGGTCCGCCGCTGATCTCCGGCGTACACATCCCTTAATATCCCGGCCTCCTCCTTAAGCGATCCCGGCCTCCTCCTTGAGCATGCTCTCTTGATTCATCTGCCATAATCTGGGCATGGAGTAGCAAAGGCGGCGGCTGTTGTGTACTTGATGGCGATGCACGTGTGGGTTCCTGATGGATGCCGTGAGTTGATGCGGGAGTTACGGTGATGTATCAGACCCTCCATCTACATTTACGATAGTTGCTACTACTTGGGGGCCCAGCGACGTTTTTTTACTGCAGCCATGAAATTACAGGTCTATATTTTTCACGCCAACCACGTGACCCAAGCAACCACATGCCAAAGCAATTCCGATGGCATCCTGCGACATCAAGGCATTCTCATCAAGCCGTGCTGGAAAAGGAAGGCAAAGTTCACGAGTCCAAGCAAGACACATTTTGTAGAAATGACAGGTATCAAGTTGTTATGGCAGAGGCAAAATCGTATAGACAACAGTTCTCTAGCCTAGAACAATAGCAGTCTCTCCTTTGTATCTGATACGTGATAAACCTATGCGTAGAAGGATGAGCAAGTGGAGTAAGGCAGAAAAAGAAATGTTAAGAGAGTGTATATAACAACATGTATTCTGTCTTGTTGTTGTCATTCGCTATTCCCGTATGATTGTTGTTTAAATAGTGTGCCAAAGCAGTTTCCACCATTTTCTTGTATTATTCTAATAAGTACCTTGTTCTAGCTCTAGGGAAATAGTACCCGACATATTCAAATCAACAATTTTTCACTCACCAATATAGAGATTCAGTAGTTTGAGGGAGAGGTTGGAGAGATTGTTTTGGCAAGGAAGGGGAGGGGGGGGGTAGAGAAAAAGGGGACACGGGGATAGAACTGGTCAAAACAACCGTTTCCCGAAAACAACAAACACATCGTATGAGCTAAAACTAGATAGACATCTCCTGGATGGGGTGCTCATGTTGTTCAATCTGGTGTGCTAAATCATGTGACTCTGCGCCTCTCCCACTTCGATCGTCGAAGTTGTCGCACTTCCTCCTTCGTCCCACTTAGTTGAGGCTCCACTTCCATTTTCTTTTGACGTGCTCACTTGATGCTCTTCTTATGGTTGTAGCAGATTCTTACCACCTCTCATCAGGTGTTTCTCATGAAGGTTTTGAAGCAGCAACTAGAAGGATATTTTGATCCACAATCCTGATGTTTTTATTGGTTGAATTGACACTGAAGGTTTTTTTTGTTTACTAATCTTTCGTAAAGCCCTAAATGGTTGTTTCTTGTAGGTGAATGTGATGGATAACTGAACAAACATGATGAGGTAGCGGAGAAACATACCGGAGTTGCCTGGTATTATGGATGTAGGCTCTATTTTGTTATGTACGGGATGGTGCTGCTACTTTCATGGAGTGATGCTGTTTTTATCATGTAAATTTCTATTTCTATTGGATATGCTTCCGAATTTAGTTGCTCTTTATTAGATCTGAATCATTGGACCAATACCCCGATTCCTACTGTCGTTGCTATTTTGATGAAGTGACGACGACTAAGTCAGGATGAGATGGCGTTGATATACATGACAGCTGCGATTTTCTAATGCAGCATTGAGATACAAAGAAATTGTGAGGCATGCTCAGTTCAATAATGGTAGCCCCTAGTTTGTATTTATGTTTACTTTTACCTGCATTGAAGTGAACAGTCCTTGTTGATTCATAGATCTGCACTGGGCTAAAAGTGTAATTGTGTAGGATGAAGAACGACAATTTTAATTCAATTGCATCTTTTTTGTAACATGTTCCTGAACTGCAGCTTTACTAGTACTCCCTTCATTCCACAATGTAGTGCACCCACGTTTCATGAAATCTAAGTTTGATCATAAATTTAGCCAACGAGACCGATTGCAGTGGGAGCAAAAATTATAGCACTGAATTCGTATCGAAATACCATCTGAATATTTTGAAGAGGATACAAAAGGTGTGCATTATAACTTTGGACTACATTCAAAGGGATGATGAATTTAACCTGTAAATTTCTTTGCAGAAAACATGAGCAACTTTGAATTATCTATTGCTTTTAAAATGGAGTGGCGTGTTGAAATGGAGGAGGTGAACCTGTGGGCGTCTTGAGCCATGCTTGCCAGGGGTGTGTGACGTACTTTTTCTTTCCTTGCGACGCACGGACATATCTACTGGTTTTTATAACACTAGCTTCGCTCTGAGATACTCCCAAAACATCTGAATTTCATTTGAGAAAACAAATGAGAGAGAAAAAAAAACATACGATTGTTGGCTTGCTCCGCCTCGCTACGGGATAGGGATCAGATCGCAACGACCGCTCCTCCCTACGGGTGACGCGGCGCGCAGCGACACAGCGCAAGGCGCACGTGTGCAGCCACCCGAGCCGCACGTCTCGCCTTAGCCGACAGCGCGGCACGCGCTCACTCCTCACTCAGCGTCTGTCCTCGCCTGGAACTCTCAACCAAATCCATCTTCAGTTCCACCCATCACCCGTCTCCTCGCTCCACGACACGGCCGGCGTGCGTGGCAGTGGTTATCTCTTTCGCGCGAGGTACCAAGCGTGGCGTGGCGGCTAGCTAGGTAGGGAGGAGTGGCAGAGAATGGTGGCGCCCGGCCTGACCACAGCAGAGCAGAGCTGAGCTGAGCTGAGATCCTCCTTCGCGCATGCTTTCTTCGCCTTGCTCCGTCGCGGCGTGCGGCGCTCGCGCGTTCCGGGGCCTGTTCGTGGCCGCCGTGCGGCTCCCGATGCTCCTCTTCTGCGACGCCATGGTGTGGGCCGTCACCTTCCTCACCTTCCCCGTGCGCCTCCTCGCCGCCGCCGACAGGGAGCGCAAGGTGACCAACTAAGCCGCCGGCTGGTCCGCCCTCGCTCGGCTAGCTCTGATTCTTGCTGTTTTTCTTCCTTTTGGGGCAGCTGGAGCGGCTGGTGGGGGAGATGCAGGGGCAGATGGAGCGGGTGGTGTGGGAGAACGGGGACCTGGAGCAGCGGCTGCGGACGGCGCTCAAGGAGAACGCGACCATGGAGGACATCCTCGACGAGATGGAGGAGGAGAACGAGGACGCCTTCGCCCGGATCGACCTCCTCGAGAGCCAGGTACGAGCAGAGTCGCCATTGGGGGGATGCAGAGCAGAGCAAGGGGTGTGGTACACTAATTTTGTGCTTGGCGTTTGTGCCTGCTCGGTCGGCATGCATGCAGCTCAAGGCGCTCAAGAAGGAGAACATGCGGCTCAAGGAGCAGAGAGGCAGGTCCGTGTGGGACAAGGCGGCGGCCACGGCGACGGTGGCCGTGGCTGGAAGTGGCGGGGGCAAGAAGAAGGCTAGTGAACCGAGGGCGTGGGAAGGCCAAGAAGAGGAAGAAGACGCAGCAGCGCAGAAGGATCGGCCCGTCGTCTTCAGACCCGGCGACATCGACGCCTTCCCGCCGTCGGAGGCGCAGGCCCGGCTTCTTCGAGCGACGGCGCGGCGGCGGAGCCTGTTCAGCCTGGGCATGTCGCTGGCGGTGGGCGGGATCGCGTGGTCCGCGGACAAGCCGTGCCTGCCGCTCCTCGCGGGGCTCGTCGCCGTGGTGACCATGTCCATGTGCAGCGTGTCGCGCCTCTTCCGCGCGGCCGCAGACCGCCGCGTCCCGCCGCCGGCGTCCGCCGCCTCTGACGGCGCCGTGGCGCTGCTGAGCCTCAACTGGTTCCTGCTGGGCGTGCTCACCTACCCGATGCTCCCGGGCGTGGCGCGGGCCGTCCTCCCGCGCACCCTCCCGCGCGCCACGCGCCTCGCCGGCCCCGCCATGGCGTGGCTCGCTGCCGCGGTGCCCGTTTGACGGCGTGAGGTGGCACCGCAGAATGGCCTCCGTCCTGTGTATCCGCGGCTCTGGTTGTTGAGCGTGTCCGAGTGATGCAGCCGCCTCTGTGTTTCCTGAGGCTGTGTGAGTCGTTATAGTAAAAAGAACAGTTTTTCCTAAACTTGAGCATGTAAAAACGTAGGATCTGCCCACGAATATGTGTATTGTACTTGTCAGATTCAAACAACGCACTAACATCGTGGCTTTGAATAATGCTATGATTAATTATTAGTGTTGGATAAGTTTTCCTCGGCAGTTTTTTTGTGGGTTTGGTAGAGCAATGCTACACTCGTAATCTTAAGAGCATCTCCTGCAAATTTGGAGATGTGAAATAGGAGATGTAAAAATTTACATCTTCACATCTCAAAAAAAGACAACTCCATCAGATGATGTATATTCGAGATGGAAAAAGGCAACTCCAATAGATGATACAAAAAAGAGATGTAAAAAATAGGCCGCTTCGAGATGGAAAAAAGCAACTCCAATAGATGGTGCAAAATGGAGATGTAAAAGATAGTCGGTGGCGGCTGTGCGTGGGGACGACGGAGGGGCAGCGGCGGTAGTGAATCGGGACCGCGGCGGCGCTAATCGTGGCGGCAGAGGGGCAGCTGGCTTCGCGCGATGGAAAGAATGGCGGATGCGGGCGGGCGGCGTGGAGCGTCTTCTCTACCTCCGGCGGTGGGTCGAGGCTAGGAACAAGACCAGGCCGTCCACGATCGCGCGCCGTGGAAGCCATTTCGGCAATTGGACCTTCGGCGAATCTTCGATTCGAAGTGGCAGCTGAATCGAATCAACAGCTGCGGGGGATAGCCGGCGCTAGTACGGCGAGGTAGGCAGCGGGGAAAGGAGGGCGGAGTGGCAGCGGGGCGGGCGAGCGGCGGCGGCGGTGTCAATTTTGGGTGAAATTGGCCGGCGGCGTAGTCGGACGGGCGGGCGGCGGTCACGCTAAAGCCGGCGGAAGGTAGTTGGGCGGTTGGCGTGCGGCTGGCAAATTTACATCTCATGTAGGTGAAGATGCAAATTTGCACCATCAGTTCTTGTATTTTACATCTATCTTCGGAAGGCGAAGATGTAATATTTTTTGCATCTACATGTTGAGTGGGAATTTTGGGCGTCGAAAATGCAAAAATTAGTTATCTATTGAAGATGCTCTAAATTTAGATTTTAGGTAAGAGTATATTTAAGACTCATCTAGATGTGACATAACTATGTCATATCTAAGTATGATATCATCCTATCTTTCTCTAATAATAAAGCACGCAGTGCATCTTGTCGTATGTCGCGGAATTGCCCCTAGAGTTCGCATGAATTCCACCCTATGCCACCGGTAAGTGCAAAATACGAGTTGTTCTTTTTTTTTCAGACCGCCGTTTCTTGGTTAAGTATGCAACAATCCCTCAGTAAATAATAATGCTCTTCCACCTATAGAACACCTATGTTCGATCCCACAATAACCCTCTTTCTTTTTCTCTCCCTTTTCTCTGTTGGACATATGCCCGATTGGGCCGGCCTAACACGGCATTCAGCACTTTTTTCACTTTTTTACATTCGTCTTGTATTTTTTCTTTGGCTTTATTTCAAAATACTACGAATATTTTAATTATAAAAATCACTTATATACAGACTTTGTAAAAATGTGAATCATGCATTAAAGAAATGTCAAAGTTGTACAGAAAAAATGTTTCTATTATGTACAAAAAAGTGCAGTGCATATAAAAAAATTCATTTTTTAATAAATGTTAATCATGCATTTAAAAATGTTAAATGGGCATATAAAAAATGTTTCTGACGTATAAGAAAATTGTATACAAACATATACAATATGTATGGAACAAAGTAGACATAAAAAATATAAGTTTTCAAAAATATTATAATGTATTTGGACAATGTTAAACGTGTATATAAAAAATGTTCCTCATGTATAAATAAATATAAATGTGTATTAAAGAAAAGTAGACGTAGAAAATGTACAATATTGCTGATACAAGCTTTACGTAAACCAATGGCTAGACTTTAATCTTCATATTGTTTTAAACAGTTCCCATAATATAATTTTTAAGAATATCAATGTTGATATGTAACCATGAACATTTGGTATGCATGTCCTTACAAATTGATTGTTTTCAATGGAGCTGTATAATATGTTTGCAACCAAATTAAGACTTGACTTGGATTAAAAAAACACATATACCATGAAGGCAAAAATAATGCTCTTATGTATATGCTATCATTAATTAATAAAATATACTTTGCTATTTTCATCGTAATGCAAATACTTGTTGGGCACCACCGAGGAGGAACGACAACAAATGCGTAGAGATAGATATTTGTATTGTCTATATATTGGAAACAACTTGAATACACTTAAAAAATCATCATATATTTATGTTTTTTTACGCAACATCACTTATCATGTTGTTTTTCATGTAGCATCGTGCACGATTTCAAGAGATTTACTGATGTGGAGAGAGTGTGTGTGAGAGCTAATTTTTACTCTCACGATGCAACGCACGGACATGTTTGCTAGTGTCACTAAAGAAACAAACCCATCTATTGTGTGTTGTATGTTTGCTTGTCTCAATTTCGTGCTATTTGTTTGTTTGTTCTTGAGATAAGCGCCCAGGCCCAGCCCATAAAACAAAACTAGAAGTACTCCTACTTGCTGTACTCAAACTGGACCCCTAGAAACACACACCCCTCCCTCTCCCACCAGTTGCAAAGTTGATGGTTCACTTGCAACTGGGGGCCATACAAACACACTCCCTCTCCCCTCCTCATTTGTGACTTGATGGGAGACTTGCAACTAGGGGCCTTCGACAAACACACACGTACACCCTCCCCTAGTATCGAGTGCATGGTTGACTTGCAACTGGGACCCGTACAAAACACGACCCCTCCTCCCCAGTTGCACATTGGTGGTTTGACATGCCACTGGGGACCATGACAAAACAGGCACTCTTAGTTGCGAGTCGATGGTCGGCTTGCAACTGGGCCCCCCGACAAACACACAAAACCTTAGTTGCGAGTCGATGGTCGGCTTGCAACCAGGGACCCCGACAAACACACACACTTTTAGTTGCGAGTCGATGGTCGACTTGCAACTCGGGACCATGACAAACACACACACCCCTTAGTTGCGAGTTGATGGTCGGCTTGCAACTGAGGCCCCGACAAACACACACACCCTTAGTTGCGAGTCGATGGTTGACATGCAATCGGACCCTACAAAAACAGTCGCCACCCTTAGTAACGAGTCGATGCTTAACTTGCAACTAGTACCCGTACAAAAAATGGCTCCCCTCCGCCCTCTAGTTGTGCGTCGATGGTTGACTTGCAACTAGGATCTGTACAAAACACGCTACCCTGCTCAGTTGCATGTTGGTGGTTGACGTGCAACTGGGGACCTCGATGAAAAAACACGCATCTTTAGTTGTGAGTCGATGGTCAGTTTGCAACTGGGAGCCTTGACAAACGCACAAGCGCGCACGCACGCACGCGCGGACACACACACACACACACACACACACACACACACACACACACACTTAGTTGAAAGTCGATGGTTGACGTGCAACTAGGGATCACGAACAAAACACACAACCTTAGTTGTCGATGCTTGACATGCAACTAGGGACCACGATAGAAGCACACACACTCTTAGGTGCGAGTTGATGGTCAGCTTGCAGCTGGGAACATAACAAACACACGCGTCCTGGCGCTGCTGAGCCTCAACTGGTTCCTGCTGGGCGTGCTCACGTACCCATGCCCCCGGGCGCCGTCGTCCCGCGCGCCGCCCGCCTGGCCGGGCCACCCATCGCGTGGCTCGCCGCGGCCGCGCCCGTATGAGGGCCCGCCATCAGTGTGTCCGCGTGTGTCGTTCTTCAGCCTGTGTGGGTGATGTAGCCGCCTCTCTGTTTTCTGAAGTTGTGCGAGTCGTTATTCTCCTAAACTTGTGCATATAAAAACGTTAGGAAATGCCAACGAAAATAAGGAACACGCTAAAACATTGTGGCTTTGAATAACACACTACTATTCATTTTTTATGATGTTTTTTTTTTCATATAACATGCGGAAACTTCAGTGTCTGATTACTTATGAGTGTTTTGTAAGCTTTTTCTTCGTCCGATTTAAATGTGAACTGCACCCTTAGAAAATGTACTTATAGGAGCGACTTGTTTTTGGTGGGTTTAGTACTCCCTCCGGTCCTTTTTACTTCGCATATAAGATTTGTTTGAAGTCAAATCATTATCGTTAGATGCGTCGTGACTTAAATTTTCATATTGTATAACTTTAGCATTGTAGATGTTGCTTTTTTTCATATATAAATATGGTCAAACTTTACGAAGTTTGACTTCAGACAATTATTATATGCAGAGTAAAAAGGACCGGAGGGAGTATTATACAACACATTTAATTCCATGACGCCGAGGCCAAGGAGACATAGCCTGGTGATCGCGCCTTCATCGGTATAACCTGGATGGTCGCGGTTGAGTCCATGGCCGGCCGCCTGGTCGTGGCTTCGCCGGTAGACGCGGAATGAATCTGGCCGGTTGCGACTAACATCCGTGGACTCTAAACCCTAAGCCGGTCACGGCTTCGTCGGTGTAGGACGCAGAGTATATTTGGCTGTTGCGACTACATCTGTCGACGCTAGAGTGCGGTCACGGCTTCATCGATGGAGGACCAGAGTATATCTGGCCGTTGCGACTACATCCGTGGACGCTAGAGTGCGGTTACAGCTTTTCGATGGAGGGAAGGAAGAGGGGTAAGTTCGGTCACAACTTCGTTTCTAGAGAGAATGTATAGGGTGGAGGACGCAGAGTATATCTGGCAGTCGGGACTACATCCGTTGACACTAGAGTGTGGTCACAACTTCTCGATGGAGGGGAGGAAGAGGGCTAAGTTCGGTCACAACTTCGTCTCTAGAGAGAGAATGTATAGGGTTGATGCTATGGCGCCGAGTGTGCTCGTTTACACTC